AGATATCAATTGGTAATTTATAATGTTGGATTCATTTTTAATCCATACCCAATAGTTTATATTATTTAGATTCATTTTCCTAAAAATGAATGAAATAAGGGAGTAGATTTCTAGAACAGTCGCCATAGAAGGACATAAGTAATTAAGTACATAACAAATTCTCAATCTTTCCCAGTTTGTAGCTCCTTTAGTACAAGTTCAAACCAATATATCAAACTGTGATTCCAAATGCAATAAAACAGAAAGAAATGAAATTAGATTAGAATTTTAATAGGCGCAAACAAAAAGTGAAAAAACTGAAAAACAAATTCTCCACCTTCCCAGTTTTACGTCCTTCTCTAGTTCATGTCAACGCAACTTTGAGAATCTTCCCTTTCTGGTCGGTCCGTTTGGATGAAGGGTTTTGAAGGGGTTTAACAAACTAAAAACCAATTGGAATAAAGATGAGACTATTAGATGGCCACCACAAACTAACATATGAATTCTCAACCATCCCAGTTTACACAGCATTCTTTAGTTCAAGTGATCAACAAATTGTTTAAACAGTGATTCTAAAATGCGTAAAACAATGGGATAAAAATTAGAGTTCCCATAAAGCAACACGCACATTGTTTTAGATCCCGTGTTAAGCCACTACCAGAAGGTATTGGGGTGGGAGCCGGGAACACCCCACCAGTTTATTAATGAAGTCCATGAAACATAAGAAGTGGGAGGACCAAATCAAAGCCTGCTCTCCATCTCCAAAGTTTAAACAGGCTAATTTAGTTCAAGAAAGTGGAGCTTTGACGGGTTAGTTTGGAAGGGGAGTTTTGAGGAAGAACGTTTTGGATGGATTAATATACATAATACATCTATATAAACAGAACGTTTTAAAATAACAAATAAAATGGTTATGGGAGGAGTATATGCTCACATATTATATGATGCGAAGTATATTGTTCACTTTCATTTTTAATATCCAAAATTTATATCAAGATATAGACTAGCTCCTCCAAAACCTTCTCTGAACCAAAAAAAATGGAATGCAATTTTCTAATAAAGCAAACCAATCATCATCACCATTACCCTAATGCACTGAAGGTGGGGTAAGGAGGTCGGATATACGCAGTCTTACCCCTGTACTAAAGCAACTGTTTCCGGATGACCCATGGTAAAGAAAACGTGTCGAAAATTGCACGGGTGCTTCATAACAAAGAATAAAGAAGCATACACTTAAGTATGTCATTTTGCTTTATTCAATCATATTGATATTCTCAATCCAAAAAAAAAATGAATCTTTGTTCCATGGCAAATGATGGAAAATAATAAAGCAGACCAATAATAAAAGTAAATAAATGAGAAGAAAGAAAAGCATGAGTTTAATTTACCAGCCAATAAGGCAAATTGGGAACAGCACCACTAACAGAAAGCCAGAGAGTTCCATAGCCAATGAAACAAGAAAAAACACCAATGAGAAGGACAACCCAAGGTGGGAACTTGTTGCAGACAAGGCCAGGAATGAGGCCTATATTCTCCCCAATATCATTTGCCACCCCAAACATGGTGAGCTGCTGCTGGTTCAGACCCATAACTGACTTGAGAGTGTGGGAATAGAGTGGGAAGTTGTTCCCATTTCCTGCGGCTATTGTGAGCCAAACGGAAGCTCCGAGACCCACCCATGGCGGCCTTGTCCCTCCCTTCAAGCTTAGCATCCTTAACCCTCTGAAGAATCAGTTGGAGAATAGGAAAGAGGAAAGAGTAAAGTAGTGGAATTTGATCTGGTCAGAGCAAGAAGATAGGAGAAGTGGTGGAACAAAGCTGGGTTTAAATGAAAACGAAAGAAAGCGTGGGGATTGAATAGAATATTACCGAGTATTTATGGGAAGAATTCAAATGGGGTACCCAGAATATTGGACGGTGCTTTTGGACTTTTAAGAGCTATGCAAATTGCAGACATTACTATTTACTTTGTTGGTCTGTTGATGGATCGGCAACCACTAAACACTCACGACAGTCTAAAATCTTCGAGCATCTGTTTTTATTTATTGCGGTATTATTATTATTTTGGCCCGTGAAAACTTTATTACTCCATAGATGAAAAGTCACGAAACTGTGACTGCTTGATTTATGAACCAGATAAGGGTGAGATTGGATCAAATAAGTCCTTATATAGGAGGTTTTGTTCGGCCGTCGTCATTTGGGGCGGTTCCCGGTGGAATTTTTTGACGAATTTTTTTAAACATCTTATTCATTAAGTCTAGTTTACTCATACCAAATTTCAGCTAAAAAATCAACTGGGAAGGCATTCAAATGAATTCGTGGATATAACTGCACAGTTAAAAGCGCAGTATCTTCAAGAATTCATTTGAATGCCTTCCCAATTGAAGTTTTCGGTGAAATTTGATATGAGTAAACTAGACTTAATGAATAAGATGCTCAAAAAATTTCATCAAAAAATTCCACCGGGAACCACCTCAAATGGCGACGGACGGACAATAAGGACTTATTTGACCCTTTTTAGGCAACTTCAAGTACCAATCTGACCCTTACCTCATTTATGAACCTCTCGACATAATTTTGTGATTTAGGTAAGTTTGTGATTTAGGGGTAATTTGAGTTTGCACCTCATTTTATTGTCCAAATTGGACTTTGCACTCTATTTTTAAAAATCTTTATCTTTGTCTTTTCATATGGGATCGAGGTGCAAAAACAAAATAAAAAAATTAAAAACGGGTTGCAAAATCCAATCTGGACAATAAAATGGGCGCAAACTCAAATTACTCCTTTCTTTTACATTCATCATTCCAATATAACTGTTGACATTTCTTTTCTTTCTTTCATTTTTTCTTTCTTGCACATAACTTTTATCATACAATTTCCACTCTTTTAATTTCCATGCAAAGTCAAAATAGAAATTTATTACTACCTTCGTCCCAAAATTATTGTCCCGCTTTCCTTTTCGGTCCGTCCCGAAATTATGGTCTCTTTAACTTCCTTATTTGGTAAACAAAACAATGTCAAACAATGCAAAACAGTGTCAAACAGTGTTGCTACAGTGTCAAACGGTGTCGCTACAATGCCAAACAGTGTCGCTACAGTGTCATTTTCTTAATCTGTGTGTAAAACCAAACGGGACAATAATTTTGGGATGGAGGAAGTATAGAACAGAGGGAGTAACATATTGGGCTAGATGGATTTCTTGACGATTGGATCTAATCATTATAATATGAAAAATGATGATGATTATAATATGTTGATGAAAAGATAAATGTGTGATATTATCATTCGGGGCACATCCCACTATTAAACTATTGGAAAAGGACATAAATATTACTTATACCCTTGTGAAATACAAAAAATGACTATTTTTTATTTTTCTAAATATATAACTTACCTTTTGTTTCAGTAATCCAAAAAAAATTATTATAATTTATATTCAATCTCTGTCCCAACCCCCACCACACACCTCCCCAAGCACCGCAGAAAAATCATGATGAAGTCATAATAAAATGCTCCGTAAGAAGTCATTAGAAAAAATCTAACGACCGCATTGACATATTTCACCAGTATTTACAATGTAACATCACATTTTTCCAAATTTCACCAGTATTCATATACAAAACGGTCCATCGGTCCTGAACAAGAATCGGGAACTCAATAAAGGGAGGGTATAGCACAGGTGCACAAAAATGCGAGATTCTAGTCCCAATCGATAATTTGTTTTATTTGGGGATGGGCCATGGGTGAGGTTGGACTGGCATATGAACAATGACGGCAAGTCTTGCTGGGTTTTGGGCCTTTTGGCTCCAACGTTATATAGCTCGGAACAGACACGAGTTTTTTTAAAGGAAAACGATTATATTGATATAATTAGAATCAGGATCGTTACATCAAATTCAACGTGATCAGAACTGACATCAACCTTCACCTTCCAACTACTACTTTTAGCCCTACGATTAGACATAGAGACGATCACCCCTAAAGGAGCAAGACGAATCGCTAACCACCAGACGGGCTTAATGCAACTATGGCTAAACAAATAGATCTGTCCCCCACTAACAATATCAAGTCTAGCCGAACCCTCAGTCATCCTAAAAAGCCTATTACCAAAAACGATAGCACCGAATTTCTTAGTAAACAGACTAAAAATGGGGAAAAGAATTTAAGCAGGATAAACTTATTGAGCAGCTGAAACCAATCTTCCAGCGCGTTGTTCCGACCCCTAGTCACCCATTTCCAGCCCGGCGGCGGTTCAGGAGGTGGGCGAATCTTCATCCCTTCATCTTCTTCCTTCAGCACCCTGATCTGCCAATGAGTCGCCTCCATCTCTTGGCCAAAATACTGCACAAGCACAACCAGTCCAAATGAGAGCAGTCTCCAGATCCCTATAGTCTCCCTTGCGCTGCAACTGAGATTCGCCCAAAAACCTCCACGATGCGAACAGTCTGCCACAGGCTTGAGATCACACAAGCCTTACTGGAATCACCGATCTAGAAAGGGGAATTGGGACCGCGCCTCAACCCTGTGAAATGCTCTCGATCCGCGACACCACCTCCAAGACCCAGGCCTTCCTCGAATCGATCTTCCCGCCAGAAGTAACACTTGCAAAATCAGGACTCCCAAGCGTCGATGAAACGTCGGCGCCGCCCGTCCAAACAACCTATACCAGGCTAGGAACCAAAACCACCGCCTATGGCAGAGAAAACGCTGATAGAGGTCGTCGCGAGGGATTTCTGACAGGAGTTTAAAAACATGCTATAAAATAGTACTACCTCCGTCCCTAATAAAACTTCCAATTACGGGTTACGAAGTTTGACCAGCGATAAAGTTAAATGATCCCTGTGAAAACTCGGATTATCTTTAGTAAATAAAATTTACATATTAAGAAACTACATTAAACCCGCTACAAAGCCTGCAAAAAATAATTCAATTTTTATAAATTTTTGATATATAAAGTAAGAGTTTAAGTGTGATTTAAGTTGACTCTCGAAAAGCGAAATGAAAGTTTATTTAGGGACGGAGGGAGTATAAAATAAATACATTTCTTTCTTTTCATTATTTTCGTACACTTACATTCTTAAATTACAGCTCTCTATTACTCTACATTTCAGAAATCTAAAATCATTCTAGAATTAGTTTAATGTGTTCTTTTAGCTGAAACCATCAAAGTACAAAGAACAAGATCAGCATTTTTGAGCTGAAAACAGGATGAAGGATCCTTGAACATTCTTCGAATAATTGACAAGACCACATGATCTGCACAAGTCTTCAATCTCCTCCTCCGCAATGTAGCTGTAGCTGCTTTCCAGAGCCCTCTGTTACCAATTTGACATTAAACTATATATTAATCAAATGTGTTGCAGATATCACAATATTTCCACCAGAGTATCTCCTAATCATCAGGCTTGGTGATGAGAAAAACTCGGTAAATCACCAAAAGCCATGCAGGTCGATGACGATGGCATGCATAGTGCACACCTGATTGGCTCATCCGTCCAAAAAATTACACCAATCATTCTTTGTTAATGATTGCTTATTTTTGTCATTTCTAGATGCATAAAACATAGCTGAGCCCAACAGGATGAAAGATGAGCAGTCACCTGTATTACAAGCATAGCAGGAGTAGCTTGACTGGCTCGTAGAAAAGTAGTCCCCACAAATACACCCCCACTACGCAAGATACGACAGATTTCCGCCACCTGTCACAAACTCACAAGTTTTGATTAGATAAAATCGAAGTTGTAAATATTGTTGGGAATGGAAAAGTTATCTGTTCTTCACAAAATAGAATTGCAGCAGTCAAGCTCACTCAACAACAACAAAAACTTTGATAGTGTCTCCCTAGAATATACGGAGTATGATAGATGACCTGTTTGCTTCATCTAAAAATATGATGTGGTCTAAACTTTAAGCTACGGCCCAGTCTGGTCTAGTCTGAATCTTTCTAATATCTCTGGTTTATATTGGTTTGGATCTTTCTGGCCAAGTGTGAATGTGTGATCAGAATGTTTTTATATTGATTAATTTCTCATCTGAAATATTACAATTGATCTAGTCTGAGTCCTATAGCCAAGTCTGATCCGAATGCTTATGCTATATGCCCAAAAAGTTAAACGGGACGCAAAATTAATAAGGTCAAGAAAGCAGAACCACCCAAGTCACCAAATGTTCCCCCACATTGGGAAAAATATCCCTTCTTTTAAGATCCATTTGTTTCAAGGAAGATACAACAACATCCAAGCCTTAACCCCAAAAGAGTTTGGGGTCGACTAACAGGAATCAACATATGAAATCGGAATTAAAATGATACAAAGAGAATTTGTTTCAAGGAAGATAACTTGTAAGATAAGTTCTCAGAGGAAAACGTTTCCGTGGAATATTTTTTGCGCTGAAATAACTTGTTCAAGAAACAGTTACTTAAAAAATCAAGAACGTACTGCATTTGAAGGTGATGGCCAGCAATGCAATGCTGCACCAGCATGAACAGCATCAACTGATCCAGAAGAAAAGGGCAATCTTGAAACATCTGCCCTCACTAGTGCAAGATTCCTGCATATTTAGAGAGTGATAAAATGGAATCTTTTATTTTGTTAAAGTATCTTAAATCAGATATTTAAGCACATATCATCCCACCATATAAAAGATGGAACATATTCTGGCTCTTATATATGTTGACACCTTGGTTTAAAAAAGCGCGCCTGAGGCGCGCAAAGGCGTGAGGCGCATACAGGCGATAGGTTTATTGCATTTTACATACCCAGGCGGCTCAGGTTCTCAGAGGCGAGCGCTTTGCACGCTTTTTAGCGCCTTTTGCGCTACTGAGAGGCGAGCGCCTTTCGCGCCTAATGGAAGTGTCGGATGAAATTACTCTGCCGATTCCCATTCCATTTTTTTTCTTTGCTTCCGCTGTATCTCGCGTTTGAGTTTTCCGACTTTTCTTTCGCTGCTATCTCGCGTCGCAGAGGTAAGTCTCTTTACCTTTTTTTTGTCTTCTGCTATTTATTCTCTTTTATATTAAGTTGTTATATTTATATATTTATATAAATATTAAAATTATTTAAATAAAAAGTTAGATAACTGATATATACATAGTATTATCTTTCACTGTTTATAAGTTTTGATAGATAACTGAAAAAAGTTAAGTCTTTTAAGTTTGCAAGTTTTTTAAGTATTTTAGTTTTTATATTTGTAAAATTATTTAAATTATTTATATTTACAAATCTGTTTGTATAATTTTACAGAATTGAATTTGTGTGATAGTTTATTAATTAAATATGTATTATTTTAGAGTTTATTAGTTTATTACATATTATATGCCAATGATAATATCATAATACTATATAATATATATTGTAGTGTTAGAACACTGCTTTATTAACAATTTTTTGACAATTGTATATTGTTTGACACTGGTATATTGACTATATTCAAGCATGTTATATACTGGCAGGGAATCAGACTTATGAACACGAGCAGTGTTCATTAATATGCTTGAACAATATACAATTTGGAATCAGACTATATTGTAGCTTTAAGAATTTTTTATATAACAGTTTATTCCATTAATTATTAAATTACTATTAACAGATACTCAGTTTGGAATCAGACTATATTTTACTACAACAGATATACTCAGTTCTTACTGCATTACTGTATTACTCTGGAATCAAACTGTTTACCAAATTCTATTTAAATTCTTACTGTATTACTAAGTTCTTACTGTATTTAAAGTTTTTAAACTGAGTATTTAAATTCCATTGAGTCTTGTGATTTGACTTTTGGCAATTATGCCTTTAAACATATATTTCTTGCTTCTGTCGTATTGTCTTTAATATATATTTTGTTTCTCTTATGATGTTTATTAAGATTGTTTAATAGTTTGATTTTTTAGAAGAGTGCTTCATGTAGAAGTATTAAAAATATATTTCACCAAAAAAATGTGGCTGAGATCCGTGAGGCGTGCGCCTTACCGCCTAGCGCCTCAGGTATATCAATGAAATCGCCTCAAGCCGCCTCATGCCTTTTAAAACTAAGGTTGACACCTTGTTTGTTGGGTTTATTTATACTCTGTATTAATTACTTTGTCTCATATAATTTAAAAAAATTATGACACATATATCCATATATGACTCAAATAAAAATATGACTTCAATACGAAGTGACCACTGACCATAGTGTAATTTTGGCAGAGACTATAGTGACAACAGCCGATGGTGATGTTCAATTTACGATGGTGATGTTCAATTTACAATGGTGATGTTCAATTTTACATTCTATTGACCATGCTAATATTTTCGCACCAACTATAGTCGTCATGCACCCATATTTATGTCAATAAGTTTTTATTTTAGTAAAATTATAGGAAAACACCTTAATTCAAAAGTAATTCAGGAGAACCCTATGATTTAATAATATTTTATAAACTTTTAGTGGCTGAAAGTACATACGAGCTTAGCATACTGGCATCACTTTTGATGAAGTCGTAGCATTGGCGCAGCATGTTTTCAGAAAAATCAAGTGCAATGACTCTTGAGTAGACGCCTGATTTTGCAAATTTCCGTGAGAACAATCCACTGCCACAGCTTAAATCTACAAGAACACCGCCTTGAACTACTCTAAAGTACTCCTGAGCCATTTGAAACTGCAAAAAGCCCACACAGATTGATATATTGTTGAAGAAAAATAATGCTATAATGCTTCATTTGGTACTCAAAGATGGCTTAATCAGATACGGGGGGAACAAGTAAGCTTTCTAATTGTTTATTTTTATTAAATGAATGTTACACCAAATGCCATTCCTGACATAAACTCAGGAAGCCCCTTTAGCCAAATAGACCATACCAGACGAGCACTGAATAGACTCTGTGGAGATGGCATGGGTTTTACTTTTTTTACAACTCTAACATAGCTGAAACGCCAAATCTGACAGAATTTCATAGAGCCTTTTTGGATTGGGGTTTTGGAGGGATTTAGAAGGGATGACTTTGGAGGGCTAAGCATATATTCATATAACGTTTCAGAGTTTCAAAAACTATTTTTTTTGTTTATACGCACATTCTATTTATGATGATATAGAAGCCCCTCCAGGAAGGGGAGCCTTGGGAGAGGCCTCTTATTAAAATGACAAGGGAAGGCTTGCTCCCTATGCACCCTTGTGGTGGAACCCTTCACCAACCCTCGCCTTGGGGGACACCAATGTGCACCGGGCTGCCAAAAAAACCTCTAAATCCCTTCATACAAACTGATCCTAAGGTACTATTCAGTATTCACATATACCACCCTTACTTAGCAGTTTTCCAAGTCATTTGGGGGTAGGGGGTGGCTCAACACTCAACTTCGTCAAACAGCCATTTGTATATATCTTTTTATTAATAACTAAAAAGGTAAAGCCAGCTTATTTTCTAAAATTAGAATTAGAAACAAGTAACTTTACCAACCTCTTGGTCAGGACCAGGAAACCCAGTTAGGGCAAAATTTTGACGCCAGCCTCTCTCATACAGAAATGAAACAAGTGGACTCCTGTATATAGTATTGTAATAAAATCTCATACATATATTATGTATATACTTATAGCTTTAACTCAGAGGCAGTATAAAAGAAGTCACACCTATGCCTGTTATTCATTTAACCACACAAAATCCCAAAAAAAAACACCCTACTTTGTCATATTTCTGAATTTTGTTAATGCTAAAAAGGGTCATATTTCATAAAATGGAACTCAATTTTCTTTTAACTTTCCACACAACAAATAAGTCACTAACAAGTTCAACAGAATAAGTTTAGCTTAAGCATAAGGCCAATTTCAAAAAATACTAATGGTGTTCCATGGTTTGTAACAGGTGTATCTCACCAAAATACTAAAAGTTATACCTTCACCAAATTAAGGAACTTTTTTTGTGATAGAGGGAGTAAATAAAAAAAAATTTACCTGAAAAGCTCAGTTCTAATGGGTTTAGGTTCATTGTAAACCTTTGCTCCAGCACTAACAGTAAGATCAAGATACACATTTTTGCTGGAATATGCCTTGTTACACTTCCTGCATTTGAATGCAGACCTATAGATTGCAGGTCTGAAGGAATTGAAGGATTAACAATAACCCATTCATATATGTAAGTAACTGTCTTAGTAATGCATTCCATAGCCGAGCTTACATATTAAAACCCGAAGGGCCTATTCTTATTAGCTGTTCATAACAAACCGGGCAACCAAACAACTCCACATTTGCCTCACTTGTTTGAGAATGGGTGCTACTGATCTCCTGAACGGGTAATCAAGAAACAGTTCTGGGAGATCAATGATCATAACCATCATTTTCACTATAAGGTATAACTAGAAAGGTTAGAAACTTGAACAAATTACAATCCCCCGAATATGAATTCTCCATAGTATACTCTAGAAGATCACGTGACTAGTTTATCAAAAACATTAACAACATACTGGTGGGGAAATCGCTACTACTTTCCCCGGTTAAGAATATATCGAAATGTTTGAATCATAGATTCATTTATATATGATAGATTGCAGAATTGTTTTAGGGTCACTCAAATAGGTCATTATGCATTTGGACAAAACCACATTATTGCACTAAAAGATTGAATTCAATATGTTAACTGGTTCATTCCAAAGTCTTATTAAATGTCATTTTAATTTTTCAATGTGTGATTCTAACATTTGCGAATAAGGCTCGGATGTTGTTGTTGTTGACTTGATGTGATTCTAACATGTTGTGACATATTAGTTAATACATTGGATCCAACCTCTTAACATGAGGAACCTCAACCCATTTATGAATTCCGTCATAGTATATGACTATTTGCATTATGGTCATCAAATGATATCAACCAATTATGAATATCTTCTTCGATTCCTAATTCGAAAAAGTGAAATTCTACAATTTGGTAAAAAAAAAGGTTTGTTATCCCCTGGAGGGATGAGAATTCCGACCCGACCTGGTATTTCAATTCCTCCCATTGAAAAGAATGAAGAGGCCTAATTATTTGCCAAATATACCGACTATAATCCTCACTTTGCGCTCTGGTTGAGTTCCTTATTTCCAACCAATCGGTAAAAAGTTAAAAAAGATACAAAAGGTCTGATCTTTCCCAGTTTTTACCGCATAAAAAAAGAAAATTACCGGGACGACAGCATGGGCAGAGCTCGATCTGGTTATATTAGGAAGCAGTAAAGAGTGAGGAAGATATTGGGATTTCCAAGTAACGGATAGCGGTTTGGTTTTTACAAGACTGTGTTGGTTTATGCCAATGGAAGGAGAAGCAGGAGTGGCCATATCTGTTTTCTTTGTTGATCTTAGCCTATCTGCGCCACAATGCAAGTAACCAATTATATGACCAGCAGATAACTATATGGACGTAGCAATCCGGCCTGCACACAAAAATTTCATGCCTTAACTATTTATAGGCGTTATTAAAAAAAAAACTATTTATAGGCAAATTATTTGCCTTAACTTTTCACACCGAATTTATTTTCTGTGTATTTTTTTTTGCATTTACACACTTCTTTTGTAAAATATTTTTCATATTCATACACGTTTTCTATAATAAATGTTGTATCTCGCTTATATGTTTTAGTGTTCTAAAGACATTAAGTTTGTTTTATTTCGATTTAAATTTGATAAAACATGAGATTTCATTTTTCATATGTGAGAGTTACATCATCTTATGTAGGAGTGATATCTTCTTGTGCGTGAGTTAAGTCTTTTTATCTGCGAGTTACATATTTCTATGCGTCAGTTACGTTTGGGTTTGCCTCGACAAGTTACACTTTGAGTACACCTAAGTTAGATTTTCCATTAACGTGAGTTACATTTTTCATAATATATAAATTGCATCACAACATAAAGCCCTACTATTGTAACAAAAGAATCATTGTTTTTGCAAAAAACTGGCAAAAATATGATCTTTTTGGCAAAAAAAATTTGATTTTTTTTTAAAATTATGGCATTAATAATAAAAACAAAGCACAATCACTGTTTAAGTAAAATCCTGCTATTGAAATAAAAAAATATTTATTTTTTTGCAAAAACAAAATGACTTTTTTGGCAAAAAATGATTTTTGGCAAAAAAAATTAAAAAAATATTTTTATGACTTTCATATTAAAAATATATTTACTTGTTTACGCAAAGTAATTGAGCAATTAGACTCATTATTTTCATTAAAATCAATGTGTTATTTCTTATAATCCGTATTAGACAAGTTACATTTCGCTTGCTTGTAGTTACATGTTTATCAGCGTGAGTTACACTTTTTACACGCGAGTTACATCATTCTGCAACTGAGATAATGAAAAAACAAAAAAGAAGTTATTGTTCACGCGTGTGAACAGTAACAATCGGTTTTTGCCTGTGGGAGCAGCACCGTGGGTTGCTCCCACTGTATACCAACTGCTTTTTATACATTCATGTATAATACACATGCGTGACTTTCGTCTAATCAAGTTTATTAGCCAATTTTTTAACCAAATAAGTAACTTTTGATTTTGCGCGTTATTGAATGAATTTACTGCACATGACCATTTTTCTAGCTTTATTGGCTAAAATATGAATTGCTACTGTAACCATTGAAAAATACTGATATTCATGGTTGTAAACACCGTCCCTATCAAAAAAAGAAAATTGTGACAAACTTTAAAATTTGAGAATAACTTCGTATGTCTTTATGCTATGAAGCACGGATACTTCCCTAGGGTAGCGTATCGGCGTATCCGATACGTTCCCGTATCCGATACTCTAGGATACCCGTACCGTACGTTCTAGGGCCGTATATGCAATCTGCAATTTTTAAAAGTTTCCATTTTTTTTGTAATTTTTTGAAAGTTTCTGATACTCGTATCCTGACGGATACGCTTATTAACTTTTAAAAACAAATCCCAAAATTTACTTAATTAAATTCTAAAAAAAATGAAAATCTAAAACTACATTTTACTTGGTAATCAAATAATGGGCCTATATGGCTATACCAGAATTAAGTCATTAACTCATACTCCGAATTGGGTACTTGCACTTTTAGTTTCAAGATTGTAGTTGTTAGACTTATTTCTCATTTTAAATTAATGACTTATTGAGTACATTTATATTTCGAGATACTCTAGTGTATATGAGAAATATTCTGAATTTATTACTAAGTATCTTGAAAAAGGAAAATGCTTGAATGCAATGAATGGGTAGACATCATAGAATATTATAGGTATGTATGTATGTATGTATATATATATATATATATATATATATATATATATATATAGGGAACTCTTCCGGTAAGGTATACCTTACCGGAGCCGCCGTGCGGCCTCCACGTTTTGAGGGCCTTCTCGGTGGAATTTTTCGAGCATGTTCGTTATCAAGTCTATTACATCCATACCAAATTTCAGCAAAAAATTCAATCGGGAAGGCAGCCCAACGATTTTTGGAAGATAACTGCGTTTTATATGTATATAAGGGGTGCAAAATTCACTTTAACATACATGATAAGAATTCCGGTATATAAGGTATACCTTACTCTTCCGGTAAGATATACCTTACCGGAAGAGTTCCCTATATATATATATATACAGAATAGAGATCAAATACAAACCATGCTTAATTTACAAAGTACAAAATTATCATGGTTATCCGATGAGTTGATCTAAAGGATATAAAGGAAATGTGGCATTTTTGTAATAGAATAGAAAACCTAACTTTTCTAGGGTGCAACTCGTTGAACGTTAATGTGCAACTTCTATTTTATGACTATATAATATGCAACACTTTGAACCTCAATATGCAATGCAAATAACGTTAAGGTGCATCGTACAAATATTTGCACAATAAGCACAATTTGTATTTGATCTTTCCCCTATATATATATATATATATATATATATATATATATATATATATATATATATGAATATATATATATATTCAAAAAATCTATTTTTAATATTAATAAATAGAACTCTATAACTTTTAATATTTGTAAATACACCCCCCATAACTTTTAATATTTATAATTATGGCCCCGTATCCGTATCCTACTTTTTTTGGTTTTGACGTATTCTTGTACTCGTTTCCGCGTTTCCGCGTATCGGTATCGGCGCTACATGGTCTTTATGTTCACACCCCTCATAAACCAAGAACGTAAGCTCTGTTTTTCCTTAAAAAAATCGTGGCCGGGAAAATTTGGTCTAGACTCTAGAGAATTCAAAATTGTCGCAAGTAGAATATACCCACCCCACCCCCACCTTCAGAGAAGCTTCGTCCGAATGACTGTCCAACTACTCCGTACATATATCATCACGCCTCCCTTACCGATCGAACAACCTTGTATTCACACTCCAAAAAACATCACCAATACGCAACCTTTGCTTGTCCTCAATCTCCAAAAAACAGTACAGATTTTTTTTCCCCTGTCTTCAAACTTGATTCCCCAAACAGGCCTTTGTTTCTTATTTGAAGTTTTCTGATTGACTTTTCCTGGAGAAGAGGACATGTCTGGCATGCTTCCTGGAGTTGAATGTGCAAGGAGGAGGAGGCTTCATCCAACCAATAGGGGATTGATGACTGACTCAAGAAAGTCATTCTTTTGCTTGTACACTAGCAACAGCTCTTCATCCATTCCTTCCATGGTACCTAATCATATCCTCCCTTCCATCCATAAACAAGTTCTCCTTTCTGCTTATGGTATTTGACAGACTCTAAAGTTTTCGAATTAACCAATATTCATGTTTGTAACTTATTATTGATTAATAGAATTTATATATTTAGAAACAAGAAACAATGTTAAAAGTTATTTTGATTTGAAAAATCAGACTGAAATCTGATAAAAGTTTCCCATGTGTAAAATGAGTTTTTCTCTGTCCCTAACCTAATTTGACTTCACACATATTAAAGAAGTGAATTTGACTTCACAGACGCTGTTTGACACTGTTTTGCACGGTTTGACACGGTTTGATATAGATCTCTTTACCAAATAAGGAAGTAGGACTTTAATTTAGGACTTCCATTTTGTGAAAGTAGGACATTCTTTTGGAGAAGGAGGAAGTATGAATATAAATGTTACTCCCTCCGTCTCATTTTACCTATCCTACTTTCCTTTTTGAATTGTCTCAAAATAAGTGTTTTTTTTTCTTTTTTGGAAAGAAATATGTTACTCAAACCTCAACCATAACTTTTACTTTTTCAACAACTTCATTAATAACCGTTCCAATTCAAACTATGACACATAAAATGGGACAAAGGTAGTACTAAAGTTATTATGAGTATATTTCTGATGATCACTATAATATAAAATTGAAGTTAATTATAGTCCTTAAAGTTATGATTGTAATTAAAGAATATATATTATATTTTTGTGGAATACCTCTATTTTAACTATTTATTGGTCGTTATTTCACACAAAGTAAAAAAGTGGAGTTGGATGTTTTCAATTGTATTGATTGTATCTGACTTAAACAAATTAGATCTAACTTCCATAATTATAAAATACACATATATATACATTCATTAAGGCTATAAAATTATAGTTCAAATCAAAAACATAGTAAGAACTTGGAACGTCAAGACATGCTCTTCCGGTTTGAACAAACTCTCTTATCCCTTTTTTTATCATATCCTATGGTGCCCGGCGGGCAGCGGGCAATCAAAACGCGTAGGTGTTGCCCGTGGATCCGATGTGACCTTCCCAGTTCCCACATGCCATCTCGTGCTGCCCGTTCCATTAAGAAACAATCCTTTTTTTTCTAAATAAATGGCGGGAAGGCTTTGCTCAAGACTTAAGGTGTTGTGTCAAAAAGCTTTAAACGCGGCGCGGATCCAAAGTGGGAGACCAGCCAAAAAATATTGAATCATGCTACTTAGTACGTACAAATTGAGTACACTTTTGTTGTATACATTGCGTAGTTGTCGGTGTAAACATGAGGTTCGAAACGAGTTGTTTGTGTACACAGACAATTCGAAGGGTGTACAACCAACTTGTACAAAAAAGTGTACAAATTGCATTTTCCAAAAAAAAGTGTTTTTTTTACAAATTGCATTTTCCAATAATATTCATATTTAGCAATTGATCAACACAGGAATAAAAATAGAAAGAATGACAAAAGTAGACCGGTTTTAAACTCGGCCATGCTGAGCGCACCCAATTACGGAGTATTTGCAATAGCTTAAAAAAGCGCTTCTCAATTTTGGCTTAAAAAAGTTAAAATTAGTATTTTCAAATGACAACTTTTACTTAAAAATGCGTTTCTCGGCTTTCGTGTGAGAAATGTCTTTTACTTTTCCTATTACACCAAAAGCACTTATTTTACCAAACACTATCAACTTTTACTATTTATCACTTTTCCAAAATCACTTCCAAAAGTGTTTTTCTTTCAGCAAAAGCAGTTGCGAACACTCTCTTACTACTTGGCACA